GTTATTTTATTTTTATTTTTTCCTGAATGAAGTGTGCTTTTAAAAGCAAAGTCCACAACAACTCAATGACAGAAGCATCATAAAAAGATTTTACGACACAGCAGCAGTGTTATATTTATATTGAAGAGTGCAGGTATACATAAAAGCATTGTATGTGATGTACTAAAGGTTTAAAAAAAAGATAGAGAGGCTTTATCTAGTAACTGTGACTTAATGTCTCATAATAAATAATGAAATAGCATCACTGGCTGTGACAAAGTGATTAGGCATGAACTCATTTACCACTTGTCCCTTAACCATATGGATAATTTATTTCCTTGTTATTATACAGTCAACCATAATGCTTTATTTTAGACATTGCTGGTTTAACTTTGCTTAACACACTATCCCGGGTTTGTTTGTGGTAGCAGTAGTTACATTCATTATATCAATGCATATGTTTTGTAAAGCAAACACTACTAACTAGTGATGGCCCGCTTGAAGCTGAAGCTCCGGTGCGTGTGTCAAAAAAATCAACACACTGCTTCAGAAGCACTGTGTCGAAGCTTGATTCGTTTAGCCAGAGTCAGATCAGTGACGTCCGAAGCTTCATTTAGAACCTAACTGCTTCGGTAGCTGATTCAATGGTTTATAAGGAAGTGAATCATTCGCAGGATTTGTGGAGTGTTTTGATGGTGACAGATAGCGAACCACTGATCATTCCACTGAGAGATTTGGAGCCAGCAAGGAATAGAGGAGGTTCTGTTGTGTGGGAGAATTTTGAGTTGATTTTTGTCAATCGGGTGGGTTTTCCAGCTTTGTGTTCTGGTCATTTGCTTTTGTTTTGTGCGTGTTTATTATATCTGAAAACAGGGAAAAAGGTAAAATGTCAAAAATCTGCTTCCATAATATAAATATCATTAAAGAACTATAGAAAAACTTCCACTTGACTCTTTGCATGTAATGTTGTAAAAATATATATTTTATTGTTTAATTAATCTGAAAATGTTAGTCTGCCAAATGTGCAGCAATTGGATTTATTTATTCTCTTTAGCTGATAGTTTGTGTGGCCCAGGTAGACTGTATAACTGCATCTCTACCAGTTTCTGTGCGCTCCAGCCTCTTCTGGTCCATGTGAGGGGATTTTCCTTAAGGCAGGAGAAATTATCGCCACGAAAAGGAACAGGTTCGGCCATTGCACAGTGGAACAAATTCTCTTCTTAAATAAAAATGAAAAAGGGCTGCTTTAAATGCATCATGTTTTTAATTTGCAAGTTCATAAGCATTTTCCCTTTCCAGTTCACAATCAATTCTACCCCCAGGTCAAAAATATGTCTGGGAAAATTTCCTTAATATAATATTATTTATATATATACCTTTCTAGCGGTTAATTGCATAAGTGCATGGAGGCAGGACCTCACAGCAGAAGCATACTCCATAATGTGTTGTACATTATCATATGTATATTATATGTAATGTGGTATTTTTCAATTATTGTATTTACCAACATCAAGAACTCACAAGCAAAGAAAGACCACACAATGGTGCATGTTTAAACAAGGAGAGTTTACTGGTCAAAATTATTTATTAAACAAATAAACCACTTTATTTTTTTTTAACCACCAAAAAATACACGTTCAAAGCAACACAATGGCGGCCCAATATCAGACAGAATTCCACTCTGTAGAGTGAGCAATCTTAATGAAGCAGTTGGTTTTATTTTGTGGATTCAAGCGGCTTTTCATATTTTTGGCCAGATGTCACCAGAGAGGACTGTTGAAAAGCTTCGAGTAATGAACCGTTTTTCAATACAAGCTTCAGTGCTTCAGAAAGCTTCATTTGGCCATCCATCAGGTCATTTGAATTTTCTTCTGTTCACAGGCAAATGTCCAGTAAATTATGTTTCTTTATGTTACTTTGGTTATACTTACCACGTTTGTCCATTTATTCAGGTCCTATATCTAAACCAGGTGTGTGGGAAGGGCCGCCCCAGTACTTCCTGTTTATATAGGGTCATGAGGTCATTGATTGCATCACTGGGTGTAACCAAATGAAGGGCTTTTCATTATGTATAGTATTATTTATTTTCTTTAAAGTAGCCTTTGAGTTGTATTGTATGCAGTGATTTACTTCTCAGACTATTTAGCTGAGTAAATGAGTTTGTCAATTTCATGCATAATCATATTCCTATTCTTTGTTTAGAATTGCATTGTTTGGTCTGACCTATTTTTTTCCCCCCAGTGGTAGAGACTAATGAGGTTCAGGTGTGTGTAAAGTCCTGTATAAAGCAAGTGGAATTTTTGCCTACCAGGTTGGTTGGTTGGTTGGTTTTATGGTAGAATGGAGATGCCAGAAATAAAGTATACTTAAAAGAAACTTAAATAGTCTGCTGATGCTGCTTACATTATGCTACCTCACACAGGCTCAAAGCCCACTAGACAAATTAGTACAGTCGCATGAAGTCTTGTGAAAAACTAAGTAGACTCACTAGCTTCTGGAATTGCCTTTTACCAGCAATAACCTTTATAATAATCATTTTCTGTATTATTTGTATTAGTCTCTCATATTACTTAACCATGTTGCATCAGTTCATTGAGCTTTGTGGGCGTTTGTTTATGCATAGCTGTCTTATTGCCCCACCGCAGCATTTCCCTTGAGTTGAGAGCTGGTTCTATTTCTGCCTGTATTGTTGACCAAAACAGTACACATTATTTCCCATGACAAATCCTCTTTCTATGCTGGGGTAACTGATCACTTTGAGTATTTAAACAAGTAAGTGCTATACATGAGTGTAAAGCCACACTGATCTCACTTTGGAGATGCTCATAAGTCATGATGCTTATTAGTTATGTGGTAGGTAGTCTAACATGTCTGTAAGTAGGAAGGACAACAAATAAAACCTAAAAACTGCACTAAATATTAAAGAGTCCATGACACCATCTTTATCTGTTAACTTAATTTACTTTAAACATTCATATTTAACTTTCACAGTTTTTATACTGTCACCAAAAAGTTATGTGTATGCACATTTCTAATGGAGCACTGCATTGCAGCGCAGTGTTGCCATGCACTCTGCTTTCACTGCCTCACAAAACACAATGACTAATCTGTCTGCAGGAGGTTATCAAGGTTATTTAACAACACATTGTCATTCGGGTTCAGTTGCTGATATTTTTGCAGTTTTTCTGCTAGAAGGAAATGTCCTCACCTAATGGAAAATGTATGTGTACTGCATGAAAGGAACGGCAGCAATTTCAAGTCTTGTTCTTAAACCAAAATTGACAATTATAGTGGTATTACAAAATTGGAGCAGTAATAATGGATTGAATTTATATAGCGCTTTTCAAGGCACCCAAAGCGCTTTACAATGCCACTATTCATTCACTCTCACACACTGGTGGAGGCAAGCTACGGTTGTAGCCACAGCTGCCCTGGGGCAGACTGACAGAAGCAAGGCTGCCATATTGCGCCATCGGCCCCTCTGGCCAACACCAGTAGGCGGTAGGTTAAAGTGTCTTGCCCAAGGACACAACGACCAGGACAGAGAGCCCAGGGATCGAACCGGCGACCTTCTGGTATCCCAGATACGCTTCCCAACCCCCTGAGCCACGGTCGCCCGTTTAGAGATGTGTTGTAGGTTGCACCTCTTTCCCACATATTTAGTGTAAAACTTTGCTGTGACACTTCAGATTCATGTTTCAATTCCATTTTGTTCCTTTTGCACCAGTTCACAACAATATTAGGTAAAGACCCCACAATATTAGACAGAATGTTCCATCAATCAGATAATACTCATAAGCAACTGTTACAGCCCTAGCAGGGCCTCCTCCTGAAGGTGCCTGTATGGGCGTGTCCTACAATCTCTTTTGCCTGAGGTGCCACCTTTCTCTTTTACACAGTTGACTCACATCAGTAATTAAAAGTATTTAAGCCCAGATAAAGGTGAGCTCTGGGCCAGAGTGCCATTTGTGTGGTTGCAACTAGTGAGCTGCTCGGTTGCAGCTAGTGAACTGCTCTTTTTTTTTTTTTTTTTTTTTTTTTTTTTTTTTTTGGACTTACTTTTTAATTTATTGACCAATGCTTGAGTTTTGTTTGTTTCCTTAAATGGTGATAGCAGCTTGTCCGTCTCTTTTGCCTCCTTGTCTCCTTTTTCCGACCTGGACACTTTTTGTTACTTTCCCTCATCGCCTTGACCCTTTTACACTTACAACACAGGGTCTTCAGCCAAGATCAGTAAGGCTTAGCTACACCCTACAATAATACAACGCAAACAGAGAAAACCCTCACCTGTCGTTATTGTTGTATGATGAGCTGCTTTTTAAAAAAATATATTTTATTTATTTATTCCTTTTTTAGCTTTGGGGAAAATATTCTGTGGACTAATGAGACTTGGATGACATGTTATAACTTTTGTTTTTTTTGGTTTTTTAATGAAGTTATAACTGATGGAACCATGAAGCCCTGAAGTGGTCCAGGAAGCAAGCCAAAAGTCCAGAAATTACTATATGCACGTAACCCACTTATCCCAAAACCTGCATAACCCAAGTGCACTTGAGCACCTCTGAATGGCTCTAAAAACACAAACAAAAAACACAAACAATGAAGGATTTGGAGAGACCTAGTCAAAGTCTAGATTTTAATCCTATTGAGATGCTTTGGCATAACCTTAAACATGCTGTTCATGCTGGAAAACCCTGCAGGGTGGCAGAATTAAAACAATCCTACAAAAAGGAGTGGCCAAAATTCCCCCACAGTGATGTGAATGAGTGATTGCCAGTTATCACAAATGCTTTATTGTGGTACCCTTGGCAGCAAGAACTGCAATCAGTTAGTAGGTTTAGGGGTTGTGTGTGTGTGTGTGAGTGAGTGAGTGAGTCTGAGAATGTTGTGTTACTATAATTCTTAATAATACTTAAAACCCTCCTTGTCCTTTCAGAATGCCCTGTTGTTTTTTGTTTGGTTGTTTTTTAACCTCATCCCCCCCTTCTTCCTCTTACTTTGTCTCTGTATGTCCTCTCTAGGATCAGACAGTGCCATGCGGTGTTCAGACTCCTCCACTAATGTCCTGGCTTCCAGCATCGCAGCCCCTCTCAGTTTGTCCCTCTCCCCAGCTGTCAGCCCAGAGGACTTTGAGCACCTGTGGCTGCAGCGACAGGCTTTGCATACTGAACGCGGTAATGAAATGGAAGGTTATATTGAAAATTAAAGTCAGAGATTCATAGCTAAAGCTTCCTCTTTATTCGATAGCAAATGTGGTTAAAAGGAGCATGTAGGCCTCCTAAAAATCTTTAACAAGAGTGTGAAATCTCCATTGGTGGAATATACCAATTCCTCCAAAGTAATGTGTATATACTCAATTACAAATCTGATATACTTTAGATTTGATTAGTGTCAAGCTGTGGCAAATTGATGTTTGAAAGGCTCACAACTGTGTGATAAAGGTCTGAAACCCACACTGCATGTTAGAATGTGTCAGGATGTATTGTAGCTCAGATAGTTAAGATATTCCCATGAGAACACTGCCCTCAGTTAAAAGGGAAATAAGACAACAAAACTGAAACTTTTGGCTGTAAAAGCACTTAATTATGCCTAACTGTACCTAATTATACCGAACAAAAATGTTCTGGTTCATCAGTATGGGTTATCGAATAACATGAGAGATCATAACTCTTTTTTGTCATTGCACAGTCATGCTTAGCATGATGGTACAATGAAATTGGAAAACTGTCCCACGTCAGCACTAAACACAACAAAACACAACACACAAAGTGGATAAAAACTGCAAAAAAGGTATGAATAATGAGTGCATAGATTCATGATGGAAAATGCTTGTTTTACTCATGTAAGAAGAATGAATTTATTGATACAACTTTCAAATATGAATGTGGTTTGTTCGTTTTCTGTACATTTAGATGACAATTAGTTTCTTGAGAAAATAGCCAGGATATTTAAACCATTATTGAAAATTATAGTTAAATACTGTTTGTACATTACAGCATTACAATGATGAACTTGTAATAATAATAGTTATCATTTATTATTATCCATTTACCTTTTTTATCATATGGTGATCATCTGCAGTGACCTCACCACAAGTATTGTGTGTGAGAGAAAACCTCCGGCTTCAGATGGCTTTAAATGTCAGAGTCAGACAGCTTCTTTTTTTTTTTCTTTCTTGACTCTGAGTGAGTAATAAGGTCTCCAGCACATAGATTTAGAAAATAAAATAATTTTTTAAAATTTATGATTTCTCTTGTTTCATGAACATTTGACATTTAGATGAGATGATGATGATATGAGATAGACTTTATTTGTCAGTTGCAGGTCTTTTGCCCACAGTTTTTACAGTGTTTCTCCACATTTAAAAGCTATCGTTGTGACTTCTTGTGTTGTTGTGACAAGGTGCTGAGAAAATAGAGGAGGTTGACTGTGCGTGGATAGAAGAATGTGTCCGGTGTCCAGCAGTACTTCACTGTTCTCCCCAAAGCCTCCAAGCTGCCATGCAGCTGGTCAATATCCAGACGCTGGCGTTCACACCACAGCAAATGCTGCCCTGGAGGGTCTACCTGTACACACACACCCAGCGCTCCCACTCCATGGACGCACCCAACACTACGCTCATACTGGGGGAGCTGCTATGTACTGGAGAAGCCAATCAGAAATCAGGAGTAAAAAAAGGCACAGCTGACAGTGAAGCTGGAGCAGAGGGGAAAGAAGACCAACTGGTGAGAAAGGAAATGGATGCAACAGCTGACAGGCTGAGGGTGAGCGAAGATGGACAGGAAGAGGAGGAGGGAATAAAAGTGATTCTCAATCAGCAACCAAAAGATGATGACGCTCTGAGACAGTTTCTCACAATCCTTATCACTGTACTGAACACACTGTCCTCAGAGAAAGATTAAAAATAGACTTTTCCCCTTTGATCTACATCTTTCCAAATTCATTCATTTGTCACACCGCCTGGGCCTAACAGCATGTTGAAGGAGTAAACACACTCAAAACTGGTCCAACTTTATGAAGCATTGTTATTCTAATTAAACAGGAAAGTACAAGCAACTGACAGTTACTACCCCCTTTTAAGAGAAAACTACCAAAAAGTTGTAAGGTAAACTCAGGGGATTTTTTTTTTTTTTTTAAGCCCAGTTCAGGCTATGTTTGGCCTTATGGGGGCACTATTGTGGATCAGTCCCAATGCACCAAAAGCGGCTGATAAATACTGTTTACCTACAAACACATACAGTGATGATGTTATCTTACCTACCCATGGTGTGCTGCTTTATTATTGTAGTTTGTTTAATGCTAGATTGCGTTTGATATGATGTTTAAAATGTTAGTTGGCTGATGAGAAAATGCAAGAGAAATAGAAAATAATTTAAAAATGACTAAGAACTTATAAAATAAAGGAAACCTGTGTATCTGTCTTTTGCTTTTGTGTCAACAATAGCTCAGGGCGTTTGCTTTAATTTCCTGGTGTAGTTCTAAAGAATGTGGCCGCCTTTGAACGTAAGCGGTTGGCTGTCGTCCGACCGTGACGCCACACCTGGTTGGCGTACAGCCTCTGCTACTTGGAGTCGCCTGTTGAGCGTCGGGGACTATAGGTGGAAATACACGTGCAGAATGCGGCAGTACTGGTTTATATGCATGGGTTCCAAGGGGCGAGTCATTTTTCATTTCCGTGAGTGCCTTTTCTGACTTTCGGTGCGTTGTACTGTAAGTATTATCACGCCGTGACTGCAACTCGTTCACTAACTGTTATCCATCGAGCTGAGGACAACCGGCGGAGGGAGGTGAGTGGAGATACCGGTCAGGCACAAGTTTATTAGCTTTATAATTTATGTTCCGACTCACAGCAGCTGCTTTTTGTTTTCAGTGACGGGATGGATGGATGCCTGGTTTAGCTCATTTACTGTACCTTCTGCTAACTCTTCATTTGGACTCTTCTCATTTACCGTAGCTGTGGGTTCATACAAGACTTTTCGGTGTGGCTGTGTTTGTGTTATGAGCGACGGTTGGAAATCATTGCTAAACCCTATTGATATGGCTTTTTTAAAGCCTGATCGCGCAGAGACGGTAGCAAGAAAAAAATCTTCCGGATTTCTTAACTTGAAATATCTTCTACGGAAGTCACTTGTTTGTAGACACTATCTGAAAACGTTCCATAGGACTGGCTAGTTTTCTTGCGGTACCTTCAAATTATTAGTGCTGTTTAAGGTAAAACACACGGACAGCTCTCTATACTCTGTCATTTTTGGGTAACTGCGGTTTCGTCGTTCTGTTCGGGAAGCGTTTGTTTCAGCGAGCGTTACATTGCAAAAATCAAAGAGGAGACCGCGTACTAATTATAGATGAGGTGGCCTCGGCTATAATTGGTATCTTCTATGAAGTGACCCTGTACTCGTTGACAAAACAAAGGCATTTTAAAAATCTAAGTAAAGCTTGTCCTCTAGCCTGGCTCTAAGGATTAGTCTGACATGAGACTACGCAACGCTTTTCATATCTCCTTACTTGTCCTTACTTCTCAGTGCGTTTAAAAAAACAAAAGAGTAGGGCAGCCTGGCTATAAACCTCATTCTTATCATCTACAGTGTTTGTTTACTGCTTCCCTGTAACCTCTCTGCCCTTTCCTCTGTTTAGAACTCGGAAACAATGTAACCAAACAAGAAGAAAAAAAGATTACAGTAACAGTCGACACTGGCAGAAACTCCGTCTGAGGGAGACTGCTATGTAATGGCTGTAGGAAATATTCAGACAAGGGAAAAATTAAAGGGGGGGAAGCTGAATAAATAATAAACAGTTGCTGCAGATGGTTTCGCTCGAGTAGATTTGGGTAGTTAGGATACAGTGCCATAAAGGCTGAGCCTGCCACATGAGTTTGTCTCAAACTTTAACAGATTGCTCAGCGGGCTTGTGTTTGAAATCAGTTTTTTGCATTTAAATACATCAGTACAAATAAATTGTCTGTAGCTAAAACAATTAGTTATAGTCACACTTAGTTATAGTCACACTGAGTGGGTTGACTGAAAGGGCTTTATGCTGTGGCCTTCAGTCACCGGATCTCAACCCAAATGGGATTTCTTACAGTGTTTAACATCACCAAAATGCCAAATCAACACTTATCTGCTGGAGGAGTGGTGTTCATCCTTTTGTGCCACATTCTAGTACTAAATACCTGTAGCCAAACTGAACTGTGTTTTTACTGTGATCAAGTAGAACTAGACCACTGACAATTAATATCTTAAAAAACATTAACATTAGAAAGAAAATTTATCAGGGTCAGTCAACACTCTGTGTCATCACTGTTTCACATAGCCCCACAGAAAGCTCACTCATTGAACTTTCACCAAGTTCCAGCACTGGTAAAAGATGAGATAAAATGAGAAATGTACTGAATGGGACAATTTTGTTTCTTGTCCTGAACTGTAAGTGGTTCTCAATGTGCATCTCTATAGAATATGTTAAAGGGCTTTTGCAACTTGCGACACAGGGTTATTTACACCAGAGCAACAGTGTTCAGTAAACTGTATCTGATGCATACAAAGTGTATATATGAGACTCTAAGTTACAACAACACACTCAGTTCCGTGTAACCTGTGTCCAAGCCTTCTGAATCATTAACTATTGGCCGAATTATTTACAGTTGTACTGCGTCACACACCAGCATAATGGATGGAATATCACGTATGTGTTTGTGATAGGAAATGCGGATTCATTCGAAGAAGAAGAATATTGTTGTGGCAGTGCTGCTTGTCATTGGGGGATTATACTTCATTAACCATTCGGACTTCCTTCTGGCTGTAAGAACACACCTACACATAGAATATTTGAGTTATTTTTCAAACTGTGCACCTTACTTACTTGGAGGTAGACTTGTATAAGTCACCATCCCTGTAACTGCACTTGCTCTCATCTTGCTTTGCAAAGTAACAAAGATAGTGCATTGTCTCACTCATCAACGTGTATATTCTAATCAGACAATAATCATGTTTTTGTCTTTTGGGTTTGTTTTTGTTGTTGTTGTTTTGCAGGTCTTTGCAAGGTCACCTGAAATAGTTCTTAATGAGTTAACATGGCAAGCAGACAGGCCGGTTAGTATGGAGTCCTGGATTGACCAGGCAGATTATCTGAGTTTCAATGTGTCCTATCAGCTGCTTGCTGGAGTGCTACCTACTCAACAGAGTGAGTCTCCACACTTTGTTCTCATTATTATAATAAGGCTGCTGCTGCCTTTTCAAACTGTAAAAAAAAGAAAGAAATTGCAAAAAGTCACGTAGAGAAATAATGACAGCACTTTCCGGTGTTGTTCTCTAACTTATGGAAACTATGGAATGCGTTTTTTCACTGTCACTTGCATATTCCTATTTGTATGAGCAGTTGTGCCTTATTTTGTATTCAAAGGAGCTTGCAAAGAAAAGCGTCTGGACTTCTTTAAGTTGCTTGAAGACGTTTCACCTCTCATCCGAGAAGCTTCTTCAGTTCTAAGGTCAAATGGTGGGGAGTCCCAGATTTAAACCGCCTCTGTTCAAAGATCTTTGAATAGAGGCGGTGGTTTACAACACCAACTCTCTGCCATCTATAATCCAGTTTTGAGTTCCCTCCCCAGACGCCTTAATGCCCACTCACATCCTGGGCCATCTGACTTCAGGAATTCGCATGATAAGGTGGGGCCAGGTTTCACAATGAACTCACCCGAAACTCTGGCTGATTGGGACCCACACCCAGTTTCACACCTTGGCTCAGGCGATTAGAGGATCATCAGGGGGTCCTTTTGTCCCTCTGTGGGGGGTTACTCCCACTGGGTTTAAATCTGGGACTCCCCACCATTTGACCCTTAGAACTGAAGAAGCTTCTCGGATGAGAGGTGAAACGTCTTCAAGCAACTTAAAGAAGTCCAGACGCTTTTCTTTGCAAGCTCCTTTGACTACGATGACCTGGATGACTGAGAACCTTCACAGACTTATTTTGTATTATTTTGGTATTTATGTCATGCATTTATTGCTTTTATTTCAATGCTAATTCTCCTTTTTTTTGTTTTACTTTTATTTACTCACAGTCTGAAGGTGTTACCATGCTGAATTTCATACCACATTATTTAATAATTGTTATCAGAAATACTTTTTAACCTCAGCTTTAGATTTGAAATGGCATAAAACCCTTCACTTTTTTTCCTTTTTCTTTCGGCTTCAGAGTATTTATCTGTTGGATTATCCTCAGTAAAGAGGAAGAAGGGCAGCTATCTGGTCCCCACATTGAAATCCATCTTCTCCCAGTCGTCTCCTGAGGAGCACTCCTTCATGGTGGTGGTAGTGCTGCTAGCAGATTTCGACGTCAGCTGGAGAGTCGACACTGTGAAGGAGATCAAATCAGCTTTTGCCTCTGAGTTGGAAAAAGGCCACCTTTTGGTCATCCATGTTCCCCAGGACTGGTACCCTCCGATTACAGGTGCAGCTCACATGCGATCACCCCTAGTGTACATATTCATTCACATACAGTTTGAATGTTTTTTTTTTCCTGTGATACAAATCTGTCTGGTTCTCTGTAGGTCTGAAGAGGAATTTCAACGATGCTCCAGAAAGGGTAACGTTCCGCTCCAAGCAGAACCTGGATTATTCCTTCCTCATCCACTACTGTGCAGGTCTTGGACGGTATTACCTCCAGCTAGAGGATGATGTGTTCTCTGCAAAAAACTTCCTCACAACCATTAAAAAGCGAGTTGAGGAGCAAGAAGGAAAGAAGTTCACCTGGGCAACGTTGGAATTCTCTGCCCTCGGCTATATTGGTAAACTCTACAAATCAGCCCATCTTCCTCTTCTGGCTCGCTTCCTCTTCATCTTTTACCAGGAAATGCCCTGTGACTGGTTGATGACTCACTTCCGAGAGGTGATGACTCAAAAGGAGACCATCCTTTTCAAACCCTCGCTGTTTCAACACATGGGAACTTTCTCCTCATTTCAAGGCACATACAATAAGCTGAAAGACAAGGATTTTGAGGAGGATGTCTATACCAATCCTTCAGCTGAAGTTTACTCTGACATGTCCACCTATCAGAAGCACTTCCCCAAGCTGGCCTGGGATGCTGGCGAAGGATTCTTCTGGGGCCGCACCCCAGAAAAAGGAAATTGCCTGACTGTAGTGTTTACTGAACCTACTGTGGTGACAGGGATATTTGTAGAAACAGGGTCAGGAGGCAAAGACATCCTGGAGTCAGGTGAGGTGGAGATGGGTCACAATGTGGTGGCCACAGACAAAGAGAAGAGTTGTACAGAGTTTGAGTCAGTGGGAACATTTGAGAATGGAAAGTTTAAAATGCAGGAGATGGATAAAAAGTACAGCTCAGCCTCTTCGTGTCTGAAGATAAAGGTCACAGCTACTCAGAAGGACTGGTTGATCATTACGAAAATCAGAATCACCACAAAGCTGACTGTACCTCATCAATAGACATAGATGTTAGTTCTTCCTGGCAGATTAAAAACTATTTTGATCAAAATCTGACAAACTGAACTTGGGACTTGTGTGCCTTGTTAAAATGTTTTATTTATCAAACATCAACTAAGTGCTCTAAGCAAATTGTCACTTTGAAGCAAGTTTGACCAAACTTTGTGATGACATGTTGTCTCTTCACAGAATCAAAGAGCTATAAGCAGACAACCAACTCCATGTGTTGTATGTATGTATGTATTGTTAATGCATTTGGGTAATTGCATTGTGTGTGAAACTGTACTCATCATTAACTCATTGTTTTAAAATGAAGACGAGAGAAAACCCATGTGCTTATTATGAAACCTATTGACTGTAGGTTGAAACCTACGGTCAATATGTAGTCAATGCTTGTGATGGCTAGCTGACATATTACTTGTTTGTCTCCCCTCACCAGTATCAGGCCTGCTATGGCCTTTCGCACCAGCAGCCTGATTCAAACCTCAGGCCAGATCTATAAATAGTGTACATCTGTCACATGTTACAACAACTACACAGAGGGGATAAAAGACGCCGGGTCCCATTTGCAGTCTGATCTTTCTGTCTTTCCTTTTTTTTTTTTTTAAATAGGAATTTTTGCTTTCTTAAATACCTCAGCTCCTTTTTCCAATAAGTACATATGTTTTTATTTAATTCTGCGGGGTGCACTATAAAGGGTAATGGGTTAACAAGGTAGGTTGAGTTTTCAATATCACAAAAGCAGTACACTGGGTTCTTTCTGTTGGCTCACAGGATTGAAAGTCTGGGTTCAAATATGCCAACTGAAAGTTTTATTTGGAGTTTATATGTTCTCCTTGTGTCTGTGTAGGTTCTCTTTGGGCACCGTAGCTTCTTCCTACAGTCCAAAGACATGCACGTTAGGTTAACTTTTGGTTGTAAATTTTCTGCAGGTGTGAATGTGAGCATGAGTCATCGACCATTTTTCTGTTGGTCTTGTGATGGACTGGTAACCAGCTCAGGTGACTCTTGGCTTCAGGCTCCCATGCCCAAATCTAAATCTGATAAACAGTTAAGAGGATGAATGGATCCCTTGACTAGATTAAATTTATATTACACATCTAACTTGCTTCAGACCAGTTTACACTCTTTTGCATTAAACTGGGCTGATAAAAGCATGCCAAAGTATCCTTGGGTAAAATACTGAATCCTGATGTATTCATTTGATTGTGAATGGGTGTGAATGTTACATAGAAAGCGGTTGAACACTGATGTATAAATGGGCGAATGAGACATCTTGTATAAAGTGCTCGAGTAGATAAATGCTACATAAGAACTAGTCCATTTACCTTTCCTGCATGCAGAGTTAGCCACTGTGGCAACCTGTTGTGAATAACAGAGCAGACAAAAGTAGCTATTTCTCTCTGAGAGAAAGTGTCCATCCATTAGCCACCTGTTGAACAGCATGTTTTTAACACAGCCCAACAAAGATATGCACTGAAGACACAAAGGTATGTCTTTCCACTGAAACTTGCATTCATTCAGCTAATTAGACAAATCTGTTCCACTTTTAGAATATATAACAGATAATAATCAGTGAGATTAATTTCACTTTAATTTGGCTAAAAACTAAATTTCTGCATCTACTTCTTTGTAGGGCAGTAATTAAAGTTTATAGTGTAAAAAGTAGATTAAAAATATTCTGTGAGAATGCCCCTCTTGCCTTTTTTTTTTTTTTTTTTTTTTTTTGGCACTGCCAATTTTCATTTCATGGTCACATGCCCTGCTTCTGGATTGAATTATGAAGTATCCAATCAACCCATTTCATGTAATAAATGAACACATACCCCGTCTTCTGGGAGCACCCACAGATTCCAAATTAATACAGTCTGGATTAACAAAGATGGAGGATAAACACCACAGTATTTGCCAAAAACTCTGACTTCATCCGTTCATGGTTTGATATAGTAGGAGACAAAAATGGGCTGCTTACAATTTCCCAATGATTAGCTTTATAAAACAGAACCCAGTGTATACAAGGTTTACAAATGTGACAGACTAAAACTGCAAAATGCTGCTGAACCTACCACTAACCAACAGCGTGTGTGAGAGAACAATGTATTTTATTCTTCTCCATCATTCAGTAATGCTGGAACTCATTACACTGGTCAGCTGACGGAACAATAAGAGATTCTTGATTGGAGTGTCAACTTGACAAAAAAAAAAATCAGATTAGAGGTAAAAGGCACAGGAGAAGTGAAGGGCTGATATAGTGGGCAGTTTGAGTGCAATCAGTAACATTTCAGGCAACACCAATAACATTTCCTTGTATTACCATTTTTTTCCTTTCCATAATTCACATGCTGAAAATGGATTCATTACAACTGGTCAACATTACTATTGTTCAGGTGTATTTATTTTTATAGGTTTCTGTCATTTTCTGATGCACTGAGAAATAAAGGACTGTTCACAGGTCTTGCTGTATCTTTCTCTGTCTCTGCTCGATGGATGCTTGTGATGGCTGGCTGACTGCTTTTGCTGACATATTTCTTGTTTGTCTCCCCTCACCAGTATCAGGCCTGATATGGTTTTTCTCCACAGCAGCCTGATTCAAAGCTGAATTCTTTTCAGCTGCAGAGCAATGGCTAGGCAGCCTGTCATTTCCTGTAGCTTGTTCTGTTGCTGCCTGTGAGCCTGCCCGGTTCTGGTTGGTAGTTCTGTCACTCCCAGTAGTGGACCAATTCTGAGAAGCTGGTCGGGCTTCAGCTGCAGCAGACTGGGTGGCATCATCCTGCAGTACTTTCAAACTGGTCTGAAAAGGATTGAAACAGAAGCTGAAACATTTAAATTCACTATACTTTTTAATGGTACTGCTGTTAAATGAAAACAAAGTGCTTTAAAAATTCTGCATTCTTTATAATGTCAGGGCCCTGTTCCAGGAAGCAGATTCAAACTCTGAGTTTAAAAACAAATTGATCAACTCTGAGTTTCTTGTTCAACCTGATTTAAACACATGCGTTAGTTGAAAAAGATCAATGTGACCAATTACCACATAGTTTGTAACGTACAGTAAATGTTCGCAGTGTAAGAAAACTAACTGACAGCATTACTGTCTACAGAATTACAGAGATGGAGTCTATAGATTTGATTCTGAGCTGATAATAAATCTGTGACGTAATCACTGTCGCTGAGAGCTGAATAACTGTGAAAGCAGTAATGTTAAGTACAAAAATAATTAAGCAAACCAATGTTTCATGAAAATTGTAGAATTCGGCAAATGAATTCTCACATCTTTGCAACTTTATTAATGAAGAACTGAATTATCATGTTAGTCACCTGGTTAAAATGCAGCAGAAGGTGAGGACTCAGAGAGAAAATCAAGTTTTCTGAGTTTGTTAAAGAAAACCTGTCATCGAACAGATTAAGTTCAAAGATTGGTAGCACTATAATCTTAAGCACAGCAACTCCACTCACAGTGAGCACCTATGCAAGGCCTAATCTCTCTAAGGTAAGAGCTCAGCTCAGGGATTGCGCATTGCCTGACCAATATTGCACCCAGTAGGCATAAAAGCAAACCCAAAATAAAAAAATCAGTTTTAAAATGTGACCGTACTCTAAAACCAACTTGGGAGGAAAATGCAAAAAAAAGGAGGAGGAAAAAACTGACAAATTCACATGTGCAGCCTGTCCTGTAGCAGGCAATACAATATATATTACATTGCACTGCATAAATATCCTTTTTTTTAACGTCAAATATATTAAATTAACATACCTCCAGCTAACTACTATGTTTGCTGCACAACTTGCTTGTGGTCTTATAAAATCACTACTAAAAACATGAAATACAGGGTGGGCCATTTATATGGATACACCGTACACTGCAAGAAACAAATAAGCTAAAGGAATTCCGTTTATAACTGTTTGCTTTTCTTTAAGAACTAGTCCTGGTAGACAACTTGTGCTTTTTAATTCTTCTTCTTTTTATTCCCTCTCAGTACTAATATTGATTTAGAAGTTTTCATAGACTTGGCTTAAACACACTAGCAGGGCTGAAGTCATCCACAGAACTGCCTTCATTCTTGGCACAGTGTTCCTACTGTAACTGTTATAGCGCAGCTGTAGTCACCAGATAATGTTAAATGCCAAAAACTGTGTGTCACACACAGAAAACTGTCATAAAGTAAGCACATCTAATCAGTAACCCCCAATATAAAGGAATACTTTTTAACATTTTTACATTCTTAACTTGCTGACATTTGCTAATGTCAGTGACCATGAGCCACGGACGGAAGTGTGACTGTAGCATTAAAAGTCTTTACTACCACTTACTATGTGCACAAGAGTAGGAAGGGGGGGGCTAGTCTTAGCTGAACTAAGGTCTGGGCACATGCTCTTTTGACTGATGTTGGATATACTAGTTTAATCAAATTCATCTTGGAGCCAGACCGATATCCACCTATTACAAATATATTTCATACTTAATAAGTCCCAATAGGTTGCAAGCAATTAGTCAGCTTTAGTTACTGATGTGCATATCAAATATATAAGGCTGGCCCTTCATTTGCACAATAACTCCAAAGTTAGAAACATCCTGTTTCAAAGAGATGCTGAAAAGATTCATGAAGTTATTACTTCCAGGCTTGACAACTCAAAGTAATTCAGCAGACTGCCATAAAGGCTCCCTGAACAAAAAGCTCCCAGTTGATTCAGAAAGCTGCAGCAACAGTTCTGACAGGGACTGGGATTAAGTAGGATTTCAGGAATGTAAAGTAATTTTACCCTTCCAAAACATAACTTTTATTCAGTGCCCTACTGGCTTTGAACCAATTCTCATACTTCAGGATGCAGAGAGCAGAAAGAGGCCCAAAGGATTTTATTCAGAACTGTGGAAGCGGAATCAGTCTCATTGCTGTCAGGGTATGATGAGGTGGAGGAAGGCCAGATATCAGAGCAAGAAGTTGAAAGCTAAGAGGAAGACATATCATCTTTTGAAGAGCCTGAGCAGGGACAGTGTGACAGATGTACCATCTGTAATATTAAGAACTGTTTAATGTAGGACTCTGAAGCTTTTAGCCATTATTATATCTAGAAGGGGGAATAAGAACCCTTTCAGTGTCAAAGGTTTGTGGAAACCAAGTGTGATGTGCAGACACTTGGAGACAAGATCATCTTAAATAAAAGCGGGTGGTTTATTAGATTGAACTTCCAAGAACAAAAACTGAGCATGAAAATACAAAAGAAACTAAAAACCTTGGATTACACAACCTAAACTGGGAAAATACTCAGAGGTACAAGGGGCTAGATAACACTGAGGGAAACTGAACAGATAAACAAAGGGAGACTGACACAACACATACACAATATATACACAGGAGGATGAGTAGGGGAGGGCTGGGAAAAACAACAGGGACAAATTAGACAGAGGAAGCAAAACGGAACATTTAGCACGCAAGACAAGGGACTATCAAAATAAAACAGGAAAGATAAGCACACAGGATTAAGACACACAAGCCTGACAAAAGCATCAGAAACATGATAGCCTTAACATGGAAGGTACTAAAGGATGAAACCCAGAGATGAGACAAAGGGAAGAGTAAGTTCACAATTAAGCCTAAAGTTATTTATGACTAAACTGGAGACCTCAAAGCCCACTTCTCCAAATCAAAACAATAATGAATGAAATTATTCATTCATTATTGTCAACCCCAAACCATGATATTCAGTTGAATTCTCATGAAACATTCTGGAGCAAAACATTCTTCAGCATATCTGTGGTTACTGAATGGCTCAGATAACCTAGGATCAGAATTTAGTCTTTTCAAGTTATAATAGTTATTATTTAATAGTTAGAAGTTATATTGTCTTGTAACTGATAAACAGGAAAATAATAAAGCCCTGTGGAAAGTCAGGGCTTTATTCTGCTCTTAAAGCCACTTAAACATAATGCAACAAGGCTGCCATGGAAAAATGATTCCCTTCACAGGCTAGTGTCCTGCATGGAAACTGAGAAACCAAATCCCACAATTTCAAAGCCCCAGCTTACACAATACTTCTTATCCATAATAGCTTTGCCTGTTGTCATTTTTCCCTTTCGCGGGTTCCCCAAAAGCTGGTATATGTCCTCTGTGTTAGCTTTCACCTTCTTGTTCTATTGTCTGGCATGCCTCCACCTCATCTGCTGTAGGGCTGCAAGGATTCGTCGCCATAATCGCTGTCGTCGAATATATAAAATTTGTTGACACCGAATTTTATTGTTAGAATAGAATAGAATAGAATTCAACTTTATTGTCATTGCACATGCACAGGCACAGGGCAACGACATGCAGTTTGCATCCATCCAGAAGTGCTTTAGCCGTGATATAGATATATTACTATATATATTAGCAATAATATAGATATGTAAGTATATTACAGAAATGGGTCTATTATGGTATGTTATAATGTACACGGTATGAAGTATGTTATGAATATTCTATAACTATAAGTATGTAGTGAGTACAAGCTATGTACAGGCTATGAACAGGATATAAATATAAAAAACTATACAGAAATCTGAGATCTACTGCTATACAAAAATGTGAACTATGCAAGTTATAAACAGTTGTAGGATTAAAAATTATCGTATGTACAGAATGATTATTTACACAGAGCTATACAGTAGTGCAGTTAAGATAAGTGAGGTATGTGGATAATTTCTACAGAGGCTATATAAAGTGCTAGTGGTTGTGAGTGGTGGTTCAGTCCATGTTATTATTGTGTGTTTGAGGGTACAGTTGTCCATTGTGTGTGTGTGTAGGTGGTTGTGGGTGTGTGTATGTTCAGTCCATGAGTTTAACGTGGGTCAGATGTCAGGAGGCAGAGTTCAGGAGTCTGACAGCTGTGGGGAAGAAGCTGTTCCGGTACCTGGTGGTCTTAGTCCGGAGGCTCCTGTAGCGCCTCCCAGAGGGCAGGAGGGTGAAGAGTCCATGTGATGGGTGACTGGGGTCTTTGATGATTTTCCCAGCCCTTTTCAGACACCGCTTCCTGTAGATGTTCTTTATGGTCGGAAGTGGTGCTCCGGCGATGCGCTGGGCAGTTTTCACGACCCTCTGCAACGCCTTCCGGTCCGAGGCAGAGCAGTTCCCGTACCAGACTGTTATACAGTTGGTCAGGATGCTCTCGATGGTGCAGCGATAGAAGTTCACCAGGATGTCTGAGGACAGGTAGTTCTTCCTCAGAGTCCTCAAGAAGAAGAGGCGCTGCTGAGCCTTCTTGACCAGCTTGGAGCTTGGTGTCATCTGCAAACTTAATGATGGTGTTGGAACCATCAGCAGGTCTGCAGTCGTGGGTGAAGAGGGAGTAGAGGAAAGGGCTCATCACACAGCCTTGTGGTACACCGGTGTTCATTGTGATTGATGATGAGCAGCGGTTATCCAGCCGGACATGTTGGGGGCGGTTGGTCAGGAAGTCCAGTAACCATTTGCAGATGAGGGAACTAATGCCCAGGTCTGTCAGTTTCCTGATGAATTGTGAGGGGTGGATTGTATTGAATGCTGAACTTAAGTCTATAAACAGCATTCTGGCTGTTCTGTGTTGTTGTTGTCCAGGTGTGAGAGGACAGAGTGCAGTGTGATGGAGACTGCATCCTCTGTGCTCCTGTTCTGGCGGTATGCGAATTGGTGGGGGTCCAGGGTGGGGGGGAGACAGGATTTGAAGTGTGCTAGCTCTAAGCACTTAGCGATGATGGGGGTGAGTGCTACTGGGCGGTAGTCATTGAGGCAAGATGGGTTGGAGTTTTTGGGTATCGTGACGATGGAGGTGGATTTGAAGCAG